TTGTAAGGTAGAATTGGGATCACGCTAGTGGGTGGGGGGTGGGGGGAAGCATTTAGGAACTAGAGGAAAGTTGTATGTTTGATCTTTACTACACTGCACCCTGACTGGTTCGTTTCTGCCCCTCAGCCCTTCTGTAAGGGGATGTCCAGTTCTTGGGTCTGCACTCAATGTTTTAATTTTTTGTTCTTTGATGCCTGATACCTGATCCCTTTGACACCTCGTGATAACACTGGCTGGTGTGCTTCTTCTATGTGGGCTTTGTTACTTCTGAACTGGATGGCCGCTTGTTTACCTCCAAGCCTTTAAGACCCCAGGCGCTATATCTCTTGATAGTCGGGCACCATCAGCTTTCCTCACCCCATTTGCTTATGCACCCATTTGTATTCAGCAATTTGTGTTGGGAAGGTGAGTATCATGGAATGCCAGTTTAATAGAACAAAGTGTTCTTGCATTGAGGGAGTACTTGAGTGGAGGCCCAAAGTCCATCTGCTACCTTAATACTAAACTTATAAATATATGCACATCTATTTCCCCATCCTCATATATAAATATATTTACATATGTACATGCCTGTATTTAGACCTCTATAAATGCTCTTTGCCTCCTAGCTCTTTCCTCTATTTACTTTTACTTTTCTCTTGTCCCACTATCATGCTCAGCCTTCATTTGGGTTTCAGTAATTCCTCTTAGTTACATTACTCTTGATCATGCCCTACCAGGCCTCCACTGATTTGGATCACTTGTTCCCTTGTCCTTGGGTTTGTTAACACCACTTCCTTTCCCCCTACCTCCCCTTCTCCCATGTTCCCCCTGGAACCGTAGGTCCCATTGTTTTTTTCTTCCAGATTGTTCATCCAGCCTATCTTATTTAGACAGACTTCCAGAGATAATAACATGCACAAAAACAAGACAGAGCTGCAAAACCAAGCAACAAAAGAAAACAAAACAACAACAAAAAGTCAGTGACACAAAAAACCCAACAACAACAAAAAAGAAAAGCCTGTCATTAGTTCAAAGACTGTTTGTTGGCCTTTAGGGGTGTTTTCCAGTCGCGTCTGATGGGGTGCCAAGCCCTGGCCCCAAAGTCTATTTTTGGTATTCCCTGGGGACTTCGTTGCTTGGTTCCCCTTACTGTTCTGTTGCACGCCCTTAGTGTTTTGCCTCAGTGTGGTGGGATCAGATCGGGTGGAATTCCTACACTGTGTCTCCAGTGTTGTCCCTTGTAGGGCTATGGGTCAGTGAGGGCTGTCGTGTCTCATACTGGGGCCAGCCATATGGTCTTCTCTGTGGATTGGCTGCTCTGAGTGGGGATATCGTCCTCAAGACTTGGTGGGTCAGCATGTGTTCCACTCTCTCTTCCTCCCCCTTCTCATTTCAGACATGTCCCTCTCCCTGAGCTGCAGCTTCAGTGTTGTCCTCTGAAATAAATTATTTTGGGGGGAGGTTTGCCTGTGATTTTCACACTGTTCTTCAGAAACCCTTAGGCTTTCCCCATAACTGTTAGGTGAAAGATGTGTAGGGAGGTGCATTCCCCTACCATAATCTTTAACCACAGACATAGCAAGTGTAAGGTGCAAGATGCCTGTTGTACCCACAGGCAGGCATCATTAATCAGTTGTAGTATTCTCCCATTACATCTGGCCGTAGCTTCCTCAACAGAGCACTACAAGTCGACATTAGCAATCACTGGAAAAGCATAGGAGATTAAAACTACTTTTCTTCTTAGAGCCATGATAGATCCCTAAGTTTTTGTGTAAGATTTCATTAAAAAATCTGATTTTATGCAGATTTTTCATATGTATAGCCTCCTTTATCTATCATCTCAGCCAAGCTACAAAATGAGAATTTTTGCCCACTATATCACATTTAAGGAGTTCTTCTGGTTCTGTGGGCATTGGGCTGCTGACCACAAAGTTGGCAGTTCAAACCTACCAGTTGTACCTTGGGAAAAAAGGTGAGGCTATTTGCTCCTGTAAAGATTTACAGTATGGGAAGTGCTACTAGGATTGTTATGATTTAGAATTGACTAGACAGACAGCAGTGAGTATATCAAATTTATGTTGTGTGTGGAATTGATTTGATTCAGTAAATTTATACATGTATTTTTAATAGGTTTTAAAACTTTTAAAGGTAGCTCTTGTTGATACTTAACCACGATCCCTCATCAGTTCTCTTTTTAAAAAGCTCCCAAAACCTCTAATAAGAAAAAGTTGAAAATTAAGCCATTATTGAGTTCCAAAAAATACTGACTGATCGGGGAAAGTACTTCATTCTTGATTAAATAAGGGTGATTTGATGCTCCCTGGGATTATATTATGAAAATTGCTGTTAGCTTATTCTTCAAATGACTTATCAGAAAAACAAATCTTGTTTGGGTTCAAATTTTATAAAATGGATTTCAGGGTCCAAAAATCAAAATCATATCCAAACCCACTGCCATTGAGTTAATAACAACCTTTAGATTATAGAATGTAGAATTGCTCCCCACCCCCCTTTTTTAATTTTTTGGTTGAAACCTTTAACAGATTGTCAGGAATTTCCTCTGTGTGTTCATATCAACATTTAGGTTGGTAGTCACGTGCAAACTATGATACTCATTAACCTTTCAGGGTCCAGGTGGCCTATTTATTTTACTGTTATTCTGAAAACAGAATTTTAGCATAAGGAATTAATCGAAACTCTTCTAATGTTTGATGTGTGTAATAAAGGGAGTTGGCCATTGAATTTTTGTTTTATTTTATTTGGCCATTGAATTTTTAAGTGAAATTCTAACATTCTCTGAACTTGCAGAAAATACAGAAGCACCCCATTCTTTTACTGACAAAAAATAAACACTGGTAAAAATCAGAAACTCTTAAATCACTTATTTGACATTTATAGGTGTAAGTGTTGTTCTCCAATATTCATCTTTTAAGAACTTTTCCTCAGTATATTTAATTCCCAATAATTTTACTTGATAATCAATCATATCTAACACTTAATTAAGTGCCACACTCACCGCTTGAAGTAATTCGGGAATCTATTCTGAGTAGTCCCATTTTCAGCTACTAGAGAATAAGTTGTTTTTAATAGTTACTACTAAGTGGCAGTGTATGACTGCTGAAGCATTGCTACTTTGATACTGAGTTCAGTAAGTAACAATTGCCTGGTCTTGTACTAACTATGTTACAATGAAGCACTTAAAAACTTTAACTGAATCAAAAAATGGCCCATTTAGAGAGAGACTGTTGTCATTTATTTTTTCGTTAGCTGTAAACTCTAGATTACATATTTTACCAATCACCTTTTTAAAATTTCAAGGACATTAATGTGTAGGCAAAGTATTAGAGTTTATATCCTGATTGAAATTTACAGCTCTGAACTATGGACAAGTTTAAGTCCTCTGCCTCATCTGTAAGATGGGGGTGGTGGTAATCATAACTTTCTTATTAGTTTATGAAAGAGCCCTGGTGCTGCTGTTGGGTAAATGTTGGGTTAGCAGTTCAAACCCATCAACTGCTCCCAGAAGACAGATAAAGCAATGTGCTTCTTTAAAGATATACAGCCTCAGAAAATCTATATAGTGTTGTGAGTTGGAATTGACTCAGTGAGTTTTATAGGTTTATTAAAGAGTCCTGGTGGCATAATTGATTATGCACTAGGCTACTAATGGCAGGCTCAGTTCAAACTCCCTAACCTGCTTCTGTAAAGATTATAGGATTGGAAACCTTTGTACTCTACCCTATAAGGTCCTTCTGAGTTGGGATTGACTCCGTGGCAGTAGGTTTTATAGACCAGTGAGGATTAAACAGTGAAAGCTCTCAGTAAGTACTTGCTGTCATTGTAATGGATGGGTAGAGAGGCTTGAGTATAGATCAGGATTAAATGTTCCTGGAACACTATCTGATGGTTAGTGTCTATCTTATTGGAGAAATACATAATTTTATGCTGCCAAATTTTCATTTTAGCTTTTAAGAATCTGATATTTATTCTATTATTTTGATTACCATGAGTAATCTGTTAATAGATTAATGATTATAAGATCATCAACCAGACCGTCCATTTACAGTTGAGCCCCGAGCAATGAAATGGTAGCTCTGCTGGAAAGAGACTTGACTGTTTCCAAGATTACAGCCTTGGAAGCCCAATAGTGCAGTTCCGCTCTGCCAACTGGGCTCTCTGAGCTGGAGTCAGCTCAGTGGTACCAAGACCTTAGAGTAGATCTGGATCAAGCAGCTTCTTTGTTACATCTTAGTCAACTTCTTTGAAATAAAGTCTAAATTGTGTAATGAGGATAGTTTAAGTTCCAATTTATATGGAAATCTTGGGTGCAAGGTGTCCTACCATTTCATGTTTATTTTCATTAGTAATTAAGCCAAAATTTCACTTTATTCTTTAAGTCATTCAAAATATACCCATTAAACTAATTTTAAGTAGTTACTGAGCACTGTGCAAGGCTCTTATAAAGGACAGAAAGATAACAGTAATGGCCCTTCCCTGAAGAAGATTGATTAGGCCCATTTATTTGTAGATTTAGAAATTTTTTTTTCTTCTTCATGGTTTTAACCTTTCTGCCTTTTGGAGACCATATTTCATCTTTCCAGTTCTTTGTTATCTTTACTTTTTGACAGCAGACTCCTTTTCTACTTTTTTCCTAATAGACTCTTCTACTTTAATTGCTTTTTCTTTTACCGCATTTTCTTTCTTTAGGATTTTATTTGGGGTTTGATTTTTAAATTTGTGTGTTTAATATTGTTGTTTACCAAATTTGTATTTGATGCTATATTTTCCCAGTCCTGCCCCCCCCCCCCCGTTAATGTGATATTTAGTTTTGCTTGTTGCTTTCACATGTGTTTACATTCATTTGTGTAATTACATGAGAAATAAATTTATCCTTGTAAGAATTGGCTTTTGTCTTGGTGGGAGTACCTTTGGCTTTAGGTGCCATATTAGTCAGAAGTACCTGTAATTTTATGTCATTTGAAAATAGCTCAATACTCCTATGTTCACTTGGTTTCTAGGTCTATTCTGGATAGCAGGTTTTGTGAAGACATTTATTCTTTCTTGGACCTCAGATTTACCAGACATCTCATGGTATTTCCTTTTATATTATATCTTTAATGGCTGACATTTATTCTCAATGTATTTTGTATGTGTTTTACTTGCCTGTTGGATGACCAGTTTTGAGGTTCACGTGGAAACTTTGTGTAGTAATTGTTGGATTGTGTTGAACTTATCTATTTTTCTTTATATATGCCTATGTTAAAAGTTGTTCTGTTTACTATATTGAGTCCTCTTCCCCTGCTCTTTTAAAGATACAATGATTAGATTATAATGGAATTTTTTTTTTTTAGTATCAACTGGAATTTTAATTATGGTGAGTTTTTTGGCTGTAGAGCTTTTGGGTATTAATGATTGTAGTGAAATATTCACCATTTTATGGTCTAAGTAAATAGGGTTTTTTGTTATCTGTGCTCTTGTGAGTAAATTACTGGGCTCTTCCCTGTTGAGTCAAATTTGGAGTCTAGTTCTGCTTTCGATGTGAAGCTGTATCTTTATCCTGGTGATAGGCTCTGCTTTTAGAGAGCTGCATTTGTGGAGAAGATGCCACTAGTTGTTTTTGAAGCACTCAGTTGTGTAGGTTGACACTTTTTTGGCTAATGAGGCCAGGGCTGCAGTTTCATTCCAGGCGCCCTAATTCATTCGCCAGACATTTGTAGACTGCACTGTGCAGTTTGGGCTGTAACCATACAAATATAAGCCATTATTCTAGGTAAGGCAAACCCTTCACTGATACTTAGAAACAGTTCAGTGTTTGTTGATGGTTGTGCATTAGTATGGGAAGGACTCGATATTAAATTCATACCCACACAGCTTATTTTAGATTTGAAATATTACTCTATCTACCTAAAACAATATGATTTCTTGATTTGTTTTCCAGTTTCTACTTCTAGTAAATTAACATGCAATAAATAGCTAAGAACATATACTGAACATATAAAACTTGTTATAATTTTAACCTAAAGAAAAGTTAAGTTGAAAAAAAAAAGCCCTTTGTTTACATGTTCCCAACAAGGAAGAGAATCTTTTTGAAAAATACTGCAATTAGTACGTGCTGTTAGGTCCAAGTCTTTAGCATTTTAAGGAAATACAGAGTGACATAACATTTAATGGGACAAACTTGCAGTTTTTGTAAATTGTTTGCATCTTGCCTTTTGGAAATTTTATAGCTTTATGAAAGTTAACAAGTCAGTAATTCTAATGTGGTCACAGTTAAGGCAGCTTTTTGCATTTTTTACCCTTCTGTAATTGTCTTTGGGGCAGCATTTTAATTTAGTGGAGCAGTGTGAAAACATGGCAAGTAGAGAACCATAATTAATTTATTTTTAAAAGCTACTAATTGATTCTCTTTGAGAGCTAGAGCTTCTCTCTCTGTGTGTGTGTGTGTGCGCGCGATATGAAATAAGAACAACTCCTGATAAGTTTTACATTCAATATTTCATTTTTTCCTCAGTTGTCCTATGAAGATAAATCCCCTTTGTATAAAAAATGAAACTGATGCTTAAAGAAGTTAAGATAGCTTGCATAACTCACATAACTAGTTAAGTGGTAGAGGCAAATCCAAAGCCTATACTTTTAACCTTAGGTGCAATTGATTCTTTTGTATATTTTTATTATAACAACTTGTAATTTAGTAACTCGATCTCTAGTTACACATGGCTTAAAAAAGTAAGGCAAGTTTTCTTTTAGTTTTCAAATCACTATCATTATCTTTTTTCCCTATTTTAGTATTTTTCCCCTTTAAGGTATTATTTCACAGCCTAACATTTATGAAATAAGTAAAAATCAATGTAAGAAATTCAAAACTTATTAATTAAAAAACACTGCTATTTAAGTATTTTAAGTGAAACATTACAGTGGCAGGGACAATTTTATAAGATTATATTTATTTTCTACAGAGAAGACTTCAAGTTGATGCTTTATAACCAATACTTGTTACAAGTGTTATGTAGTGAGTTTGGAATCTCTGGGTGTTGAATCAGTAAATGTTCAACTATTAGCAAAACCCACCCAGAGGTGCTTCAGAGACAGACTTGGTGATCGGCTGATGAAAGGTCACAGCCTTGACCATGGAGCATTTCTATTCAGTACACATGGGGTCACCATGAATCAGAATAGACTTGGTTGCAAATACAAGCAATAACAAAAGCAGTGAGTTTAAATGAGAAAAATTTATGTTGGAGCAGAATTTATTTTTGGTTTCTATGGTAAATTTACCTTTAAAAAAACCCTTAAAGTCTATTAGTTTGCTCTACTAATTAATTGTCCTTATTTCTAGCTCAAAAAAGCTACTGCTACCTGATTGATTCTGATTCATAGTGACTCTATAGGGCTTTTGGGGTTTTAATTTTTTTTTTTTTCCTCTACTTCCGGGAGGGTCATCAGCTCCCTCTGAGGCTGTAAATCTTTATGGGAGTGGATGTTTCATCTTGCTCTACAGAAGCAGCTGTTGAGTTTGAACCGCTGATCGTGAGGTTAGTAGTAATCTAATGCTTACTCGACAGCACTATCAGGGCTCCTTAATTGTCCTTAGGGAATGAAATCGAGAACTTCTTAAATGTCATTAATGCAGTAAGAAAAATGATAGCCACTGTAAAACTATTGACTTTATTACAAATAAAATCTTTTTCATCATCTATAGTTAGATATATCTATATGCATATATACAGATATATATGTATACAATAGAAGTGAATTTGGTTTAAATCCTGGTTTCGCCTCTTAAGTTGAGGAAGCTTTGTTACGTGATTTAACCTGTCTTGGCTGTGTTCCTTGAGGTAAAATGGAGATACCTATCTCAGAGTTATGAGGATTAAATGGAGCATATATGTAAAAAGCTTAGTACAGTGCTTAGTCTATAGTAAGTGTTCAGCATTTGTTAGATAGTATATTGTTAGATTACAGATTACTCACTGAATCAAGAAGGCTTATTTTTGACTACTAGTGTAATAAGACATTTCCATTTTATTTTTCAAAATGAATAATAATTTGTCAGATCTTCACTAAATAATATATCTTCTTAGTTCATCATTTGGCATCTTAAATTTATTGCCTAAGGAGGATTATGATTCAGAAACTTATAAATTTTTCTTTGGGTCATAGTCACATAATTTAATACTTAAAATAATAAATTGAAGAAATTCAAAATTATGTTGAGATTTTAATAAAGATTGTATTCTTTCTTGTTATATATGGTGTGGCTTTTGCTAGAACTCTGGAAATGTTTCTTAACTGCTTTGTTTCTTTTTTTTAAACAGGGTTTGTGGATGCACTTAGATGTTTGCAATATATAGTGTGGCTTTTGCTAGAGCTCTGAAGATGTTTCTTAACTCCTTTTTTTTTTTTAAACAGGGTTTGTGGATGCACTTAGATGTTTGCAATGAGCACTGTGGCTGGCATGCCCCAGTGTTTTGGATACCAATGCATAGGACTCCATAGTAATCGAATTTACCAGAGGCGAACGTCATGAGCATAGTCATCCCATTGGGGGTTGATACAGCAGAAACGTCATACTTGGAAATGGCTGCCGGCTCAGAGTAAGTCTTCATGTTAAAAAGTATTTTGGATAGGGAAAATCAAAATCAATTTTAGCATAACCCATTAACTTAATTTGTGCTACTATTCCATGTTTTAAACTCATTCCTAAAATAAAATACCAGAAACTTGAGATTTCTTAACCAAAATTACTTTTATAAATAACTGTTTTTAGACAAAATGCCTTTTTGTTTTTTGCCATTTGCTAATTGTTGGCATCATAAATCAAGATATAATAGGTTTTATTTATTTATATTAGTATTTGGGAGTTAATACATGTATCATTCCATAGCTCAATCACATCAAGCAGAATCTTTTTGTTTTTAATTGTAAGATCTACTGGCATCACTCAGTGGGATTGTCGTGTTTACCCTAGAAAAGTAATTTGGTTTCAAATTTAAATCTTTACTAATAAAAAAAAAATTGTAGTCCTCATTTAAAAGTGGGATTTGATTTTTTTAAAGAGTTAGTTGAAAAATATAATTCAGGCTATTTTTAAGCAAGAGAAAATTTTCTCTAGGGGTAGTTGCTGTGATAACTTTTACTGTTGTGGGGGACATTTTGGACTGACTCAATGAAAGGTTCTTACTTTATGTTGCAGACTTTGTTTCTGGTGATTATCTGAATAAATATAATTTTTGTTTTGAATGATCAGCCACTGAACACTAAGTTATTTCTGTAAAAATATTTGCTTGTTTATAATTGGAAATTACAAGGGGTTCAAGTGACAGTGCTGTAAGTTGAAGGATGGAAAGATTTGTATTAGGGGTAGGGGGAAGATTTGTTTATTTGTCCTCTGGTTCACTATATGGTGTATTGTGTTTAATGAGATTCTCTACCAGCCGCCAGAGAAATACTTAGTATCTACTTTAGTAAGAATAACATTTTGTTTCATTAGCTTAAACTTGTTAAGCAATTGTAAGCATTCCACAATCTGATTTAAAGGAAGCTGTCTTATTTAAAAATAACATTTTAACTATGTAACATTGATATTATGTAACATCAACAAAGATATAATATAACTAGATGTTGGTGAATAGAAACAGTTGTAGCCAACTGCTTATACTAGGAACTCTCTAAGATACTCTAAAAATTATGTTCTAGCCATTCTTAAATCTTAGCAGGAAGAATTTGCCAGCATAGCTCTTAAATATGAAAAACACCAATCCCAACTCATAGGTTAATATAACGAATGACTGATTTTCTCATTAGTATGTGGCATAATCCTTTGTACCTTAAAATATACAAAAATAAAATATTTTAAAGGAAAATTGAGTCTGGGCATAAATATAATTTTGAAACTGGATTAGCAAAATGATTGTCACTGTAATAATCAGGAGGCCACATTTCTTATCAGGAAGCTAGAGCTATCTGATTGTGGGGAGAAAAAGAGGGGGGTCCCCCACAAATCATCACAGGTCTTGAGATTTCTTAACCAAAATTACTTTTATAAATAACTGTTTTTAGACAAAATGCCTTATCTTCTTAAACTACTTTTTGTTTTTGCCATTTGCTAATTGTTGGCATCATAAATCAAGATATAATAGATTTTATTTATTTACATTAGTATTTGGGAGTTAATGCATGTATCATTCCATAGTTCAATCACGTCAAGCAGAATCTTTTTGTTTTTAATTGTAAGATATACTGGCATCACTCAGTGGGATTGTCATCACAGGCGCAATTGTACAGTGATAATAAGTAAAGGTTATAGTAAAGTCATAGAGAGCATGAGAGATAGAGGAGAGATTGGAATAAATGGAGTCAGACACTATTCTTGGTAGCATGCTCACCTCAGTCCCACGTGGTGGTCCTCGTGGTGGGAACCCGGCCACGAGAGCAGGAGAGACAGTCCGGGCGCGAGAGCAGGGGAGCCCCCAGGCCCAAGGACGGGGCGAGCCTTTACTTTATTGCTAACCAAGCGTTATATCTCTTTAGGGGGACATGCTTACAGGTAACCACACGTCACAGGAAGGGGCAGTACAATAGGCATACACATTGTAGGAAAGGGATCTATGATAGGCATGTGTAACAGGAAGGGGTTGAGCTAGGGGTGTGCCCATAGGAATGGGAAGGTCTAGTGGTATACATGTGACAAGATGGGCGGACCCTGTATTCATGATGGCAGCCTAACCTTGGTCATCCTTGGGCGGGTTTGACCTCTCTGGTGTCTCCTACAAGGAAACAGACAACTACTATCCTTATCAGAAGGGAATGGGCCCTACTTGTTGTGGAATAAACATGGTGTCTGCTTGGTCTAGATGGCTGATAGCTCTTAGGGAGAATGACCCCTAATCCACTCCTGATGACCTCCAAGTGTATAGTCATTCTCAAGCAGCTAAGTCTGGCATATATTTGGGGGAGAGAGCTTGAGAGAAATCCTTCTGTTTCCCATATCTGATTAAGTGCACATCATAAATGTAGGTTACTTCTAGAAGTAGACTTCTTCTTTTTTGAAGATTATTTAATTAGTAAGCTTGACTTTTTAGTTTCAGATTAATATTAAAATTGAGCAGATAGTGCAGAAAATTCATGTTCTTCCTCATACTTCCCCTTACTGTCTCCATTAGTATTACCATCTTACATAAAACTAAAAAACTTGCTGCCAAAACTCAATGTGACTCATAGCAACTCTATAGGACAGGATAGAACTGCCCTTATGGGTTTTCAAGGCTGTAACTATTTATGGAAGTAGAAAGCCTCACCTTTCTTTTCTCCCAAGGAACGGGTGGTGCTTTTAAACTTCTGACTGTGCAGTTAGCAGCCAGTTTTATAACCAGTAGTGGTATATTTAAGTAATGAAACAGTATTGATAAATTATCATTAGCCTAGAGTATACAGTTTGCCTGAAGCTTCCCACTTGGTGTAATAGAATTCTGTGGGTTTTGACAAAAGAATGATATCATGTATCAACTTGTATTATCACACAGAATAGTTCATCCTAAAAATCCTAGTTTAGAATGTTGTCATTAATTCAGTTTCCTAATAGATAAAGGTTTATTCAGATTATCTTTTTGTATATGGTTGTAAGATTTGGTAACTTGTGTTTTTCAAAGAATTGACCCTTTTCAATCAAGTTAGCAAATCTGGGGGCATATAGTTGGTCATAATAGGAGTAGCCTTCTCCCTAAATTTAATTATTTGTGACAAGATTTACAATCCAAAATGAAGCACTTTGGACCATTGTTTATATGCATTCACTGTGGACAATGCTTTGCTAGAAGTTAGGGTTAAAGAGGTGAAATATCAATTTTTACCCTTATTCTTTAATGGAATTCCAATCAGTGTGGACAGTTAAAACTCTAACTTAGCACTGTCCAATGGAAATATAAAGAAAAAAATTAAAACCCCCAACTCACTGCCATAGGATTGATTTCAACTCATAGCTACCTTGTAGAACACAGTAGAACTGCCCTTGTGGGCTTTAAATTTTTAGATTTTACAGAAAGTCTCTTCTTTCTCCCTTAGAGTGCCTGGTAGTTTTGAACTACTGACCCTGCAGCCCAACTTGTAATCCACTCACTATGTTCCTTAATAGAAATGTAATACAAGCTAATTAGGTAATTTTAAAAATTTTAATAACCACATTAAAAAGGTTAAAAACAGTGAAGTTTACTTTGATAATATAGTTTACTTAATTGAATATCTAAAATATTATTCTTTACCAGGGCAAGTCTAGAGTAGATAACAAGGTTCTTGGACTTTAGAGAAGAAACCAATATGTAGCCTTGGCTACTTATGAAAGCTATAAAAGTGAAATAATAGAAATCTATTATGTTCTGAGTCAGAAAGCTAAGAATATAGCTGTGAGGTAATTACTGTCATGCTAAAGTCATAGAGTGGGTAAGTAGCAGGGGGCCGTTGTAATGCCATTATTAGGCCTTTGTCAATTATAGCACTTTTATTGATAATCCTAATAAGAATGACACATAACTTTTTTTATAGTTACAGCACTAATAAATTCAATATAATAAATAACTATGCAACAAAGTCCCTGGGTGCAGCAAATGGTTATATTCCTGGCTATTAACCAATGGGTTGACCATTTGAACCCCCCTAAAGGCACTACTCGGAAGCAGTGGTGATCTGCTTCAGAAAGGTCACAGCCCTGAACATACCATCAAGTACAGTTCTACTCTGCAACAGATAGGCTCCCCATGCGTTGGAATGGCAACGGGGGCGGGGGCAGTCATTGGTCTTTGTGGAAGGGTAAGAAAACCTCCATCATCACTAGACAGAAAAGTTGAGCTAGAGTTTAGCTGCTTGTAATCATTTTATTTTAGCTAATAAATCTTATTTCTTTTATTCCCTTCTTTACCTTGGCCACCCAACTCTCTCAATTCCTAAACTGGTCACATAAGTAAAAACAGATAGGACATAAAAAGAAAGTAAGAAGGTGTATGAAGGAACTTCAAAAGTTTTGTAGAGCAATGGAATGAAAAGTTCATGGAATTTTTCCCACAAGCTTCTTGAAGCTCTTGCATTTACATGGGTAGTGTTATATTTCTTCTATCCCTGGCTTTATTATTATTATTTTTAATTAAGAAAAGACAAACTACTGTTCATATTAGAGACTAGAAGCATATTTCTTTTTAATAATGTTATCACCAAATATTCCTTATTATAATTAGAAACCAGTGCCAAGAGTTTTCACATATTTATGTATGTTTTTTAATAAATCATTTTATTGGAGACTCTTTCAGCTCCTTCTAATCCATATATCAGTTGTATCAAGCACATTTGGACATAATGTTGCCATCATCATTTTCAAAACATTTACTTTATCCTTGAACCCTTGGTATCAGTTCTTCTTTTTTCCCTCCTTCCCTCCCTCCTCCTCCCACCCTCATGACCCTTTGATAAATTATAAATTATTTTCATATCTTACACTGTCCACTGTGTCACTTCACCCATGTTTCTGTTGTTTACTCTTCTGGGGAGGGGGTGTTATACGTTGATCATTGCTATTGGTTCCCCCTTTCTCCCTCTTCTTCTCCCACCTTCCCCCTACTCTCATGATATCTCTACTCTCATTATGGTTCTGAGGGGTTTATCTGTCCTGGATTCCGAGAGCATGGAGAGCTCTCTTATCTCTACCAGTGTACATGCTCCCTCCGGTCTAGCAGATATGTAAGGTAGAACTAGGAACATGATAGTTGGGCGGGGGTGGGGGAGAGGAAGCATTAAAGAACTAGAGGAATGTTGTGTTTCCTTGGTGCTATACTGCACCCTGGCTGGCTCATCCCTTCTGTGAGGGATGTCCAATTATCTACAGATGGGCTTTGGTCTCCCCTCCGCCCACCCCCCACCCCATTTGCATCCATATGATTGCTTGCTGTGGGTCTTCTGATGCCTGATACGTGATCCTGTCAACATCTCGTGTTCACACAGGCTGGTGTGCTTCTTCCATGTGGGCTTTGTTTCTTTCCTACTAGATGGCTGCTTGTTTAACTTCAAGCCTTTAAGACCCCAGATGCTATATATGGCATCCAATATAGCTAATAGCCAGGCACCATCAGCTTTCTTCACCACATTTGCTTATGTACCCATTTTGACTTCAATGATCGGGTTGGGAAGTGAGCATCACAGAATGCCAGGTTATTACAACAAAGTATTCTTGTATTGAGGGAGGACTTTAGTAGAGCCTCAATGTCCATCTGCTACTTTGATACTTAGCATATAACTATATGTACATAGACCTATGTCCCTATCATTATATATTAATATATTTACATATATACATGCCTATATTTATGCCTCTATAAATGTCTTTTGCCTCCTAGTTCTTTCCTGTTTCCTTTTACTTTTGTCCCACTATTGTGTTTGACCTTCATTCGGCTCTCAGTAATTCCTCTTAGCTACATTGCATTTGATCAAACCCCACCAGGCGTTGTACACTCTCCTCGCATCCATTTTAGATCTCTTGTTCCCTTGTCCTTGGATTTGTTGGTTCACCCCTTCCTTCCCCCCCCCCCCCCCCCCCCCCCCTTCCCTGTCCCTGGAGAACTGTCGGCCCTGTAGTTTTCTCCTTTGGATTGTTTATCTTTCTATTTTATAAAGAATGACATGAAAAAAGCAAAACCAAAACCAAGGGCCTATAAATAGTTCCAGGTCTGTCTGCTGCCCCTTATGTATGTTTTCCGATCCAGTCTGATGAAGTGCCAAGCCCTGCCCTCCAAGTCTGGTGGTGTCTTTTTCGGTATTCCTTGGGGTCTTCATTGCTTTGCTCCCCTTGCTGCTCTGTTGCACTCCCTTTGTGTTTCACCCCGGTGGGTGAGGGTCAGACTGGTCACAATTCCTGCACTTTGTCTCCAGTGCCGTCCCCTGCAGTACTGGGGGCCAGTGAGGAGATATCATGTCTTGTGGTGGGGCCAGCCCAATGGTCCTCTCTGTGCCTTGAATGCTCTGAGCCAGGAGTATTGATCTTGGGGCTTGATGGGTTTAATGTTGTGTATTTTTTATGAGGTAGACAAATTAGTAAATGTGACATGAGTCAGGTAGAGGTGAATTATTTTGGAGGGGGTGCTGCTAGCACTATGCTGGCACAGAGTAAATGTCATATGAATGTTTGTTGACTAAGAGTACTGAAATAGACATTTGGGTTCCTTCATTTTCATTCTCTTTCTAATATTCTGTTGTTAGTTGCCATTGAGTCAACTCCCAAATACAACAGAACAAAATGTTGCCTGGTTCTGTACCACCTTCATGATCACTGATGTACTTGAGACCATTGTATATTTTGAGGGTCTTCCAATTTAAAGGGCTAATCTTTCAGCAATATATTGGACAACATTCTGTTGTGATCCATAGTACTTTTGTTGGCTAATTATTTGAAGCAGATTGCCAGGCCTTCCTAGCCAACCTTCATCTGGGAGTTCCCATGAAACTTGTTCCGTACGGGGGACCCTGTTCTCTGGAATACTTACTGGTGGCATAGTTTCCATCAGATGAGTGTGGAGTAACCCTGATCCCTTAAGCCACTTCATTGTTCTAGACATTACAATCTTCATTTGAAAAAAAGGTCTTGGATCGAAGAATTGACTCCGAATTTTCTGAGAGTCAATAAACTGTTACCCACCTGCATTTTGCTATAGTATTTGCTATTAAATGATTTCAGTGGCTCTGGAGCCACCTGCTGACAGATGTTATTAAATTTGTAGAAGAGTTGGTGGTGCTTTAATTCTGAATTTCTATAGTTGAAGATACTAAAATTTTTTATATGATGTTTTCAGATGATAAAATGCAAAATAAATAAATGTTTTCAGTTGATTTCTGTTAGCGCTTAACACTTGTGCTTATGATTTCTCCACCCTTAAGCCACTATCAAGAAACTAATGTTTTCTGCTGTTTTTAAAGTGGGTGTTAATTTTTTTTATCCTAATTTTTGAAGTATTTTCATTTAAATGTAATTTTTGTTTAATGTTCAAAAACCTGTTTAAAATACTCTCTCAGTATTGTTAAAATAATAGCTGTTAGTATTAGAACTGCTTTTTATAATAGTTGGTTTTTCCATTTGTTTCATATTTAATCATAAACAAATTTTCACTTGGCCGTACTGCATATACAGCTGTGTTTAGCCATCCTTGATGTAGTGTTCACTAAACAGCTCTCCTACTCCAATCCACCTTGCATGTTTGATCTACCAGGCAAATATTTTCTTAGTTCATGAAAGAAATTCAGCTGAGGGAAATTAACTTTTTTTTTCCTTAGGCCCATATAATTAGTCAAAAGTAGAGTTGAATTTGAGCTATAACTGCTTGGTTGGATGCAGAACAACACTGCTGCCCTACGGGTCGGAGTATTTGCTGTTAAGTGATTTTCAGTGTCTCTGGAGCCACCTGCTGACAGGATTCATGAAATGTTTTGGAGAGTTGGTGGGGCTTTAAAAATCTGAGTTTATATAATTGAAGAGATGAAATTAATTTGTGTATAATGCAGCTGGGTTTTTTAGATGTAATTAAATGCTACATGTGATAAACTTGAGGAACTTATTTGTCGTACCAAACCTGATAGCAGTTTTTTTATCAGGTACATGTAATCATAATTGTTTTTTTTTTTAAATAGTAGCATATAAGAAGGATGAAAGAAATGAAGAACTTTGGAAGGACTGCATTTTGAGAGCTCATAGAAGTTTTTTACTGATCCTTCATTGCTAGTTGCATGACAGCACTGTTTTAGAGTCTGGGAACTTCCCGCCACATTAGCTATCTGGACTTCACAGGAGCAGATCCACTACTACATTGTTCTAGGCTAGGACTGTGCTACTTTTAGTCTCCAGTACCTCTGAGGTACAGGAAATCAGACCCTAATAGAGTGCTTCTTTAACATTATTTCCCCTTTTTTATACCCCTAACAGGGTCAGAGGTGGGGTGGGGAAAGGGCTCAATTAAATCTTGGATTATCAGTTTTATCTATGCCTCTCATTCCTGCAATTACTTGGGCAATTACAACTTAAGAAGTAGACCTGTCTTTTTTAAGTAGCACTACCTTATATAGAAGTGACTGTACAGGCATAGCTCATTTTATTGTTTCACAGGCACTACCTTTTAATATACATATATGTATATATATACATACATATATATTTATACATACATACGTATTTGTAGCAGCCCTGTTTCAAGCAGATTCATTGGTGCCATTTTTCTAACACCATTTGCCCACTTCCTGCCTTTGTGACACATTTTGGTCATTCTCACAGTATTTATTTATTTTTTTTAATTAAATACTTTTATTTCTCACAGTATTTGAAACTTTTCACAATGCTGTTATATACTTACTAGACTACAGTGTAGTGTTGGCATTACTTTTATATGCAGGGGAAAACAAAATATCCATGTGTGTTTATTATGATACTCATTTTATTGTGGTGATTTGGAACCAAACCCACAATATCTCCTCTCACTGCCATCGAGTCAATGCTGATGCATAGCGACCCCCTGTGGGTTTCTGAGACCGTAACTGTTGACTGGAGTAGAAAGTCCAGTCTTTCTCCTGAGGAGCTGCTGGTGGTTTCCAACTGCGGATCATGCAAATCTAAGCCCAATTCATAACCACTAAACCACCATAGTTAGAACATTAACTAAATAATCAACTTTTCATACCAAAGGGAGAAAACTTTGGTGTTTATTCTATTCTTGCTTTGTTTAGTAGTGTTTGTATACCTGCTTGTTCTTGCTTGCTAGAAATTGGAAATGCATACTTCATATTCAAGTTGGGTTTATAGTGATTCAGTGTAACCTGAGTCCTGTTTATTTCATCACTACTTTCTGCTTCAGTGCATAGTTTGTCTCCATTGGCAGTCATGGAGTATACTGCTTGGTCTGTATTAATTTTTAAAAAATGATAGGGAAATTCTATATTTAAAGTTGGAATAGGACATTTACTTTGATTCAACAAAAGTTTTGTTATGACAAGGGATCTAGATAGAACATATCCTATCTATAAGTGGGTCATCTCCTATAAAAAGGCATTGTATTTCTACAAATAAGTATGTTAGTCCTTATGATCTTAAGTTAATGAAAGTCATTTGATGCAACTGTTTGTTTGTTTGCTTCAAACAGACCAGAATCTGTAGAAGCTAGCCCTGTGGTAGTTGAGAAATCCAACAGTTATCCCCACCAGTTATATACCAGCAGCTCGCATCATTCTCACAGTTACATTGGTTTGCCTTATGCGGTAAGTAGCAAACATTGCTCTGGAAGGTTTTTATTTTTCAAATCTCCAGGTTGAAAATAGTTGTGTGTGGTGTTATGCTTAAAAGTGCATACTTACCTGGCAGGGGAGATACCATGATCATGAAGGTGGTTTTCCCAGGGTGAGGGTCACTCATTGCACTCCGAATGTGCTGACTCCTGAGATTTCCCCAAATGTGGGAAACTCGACTGCATAATTTGTGGTGGTGGGGGACTGCATTTGTGCTAGCCCCTGATTTAAAAAAAAAAAGAAAAGTGCATATTTTTGAGACTATAAATTATTTATAGTTTAATTTTTTTATTGGCTATATGATGATTCATGGTATTACAATTCGTTAAGAAGTTATTGCAAGTATTATTATATTTTATGTTATTAATGGTTTGGTGTGATTATTCTTTACCCTTTTTATAAAGTCTGTAGGTAGATCTGTACTGTATTTGCTACCGTGAATTCTAAATTATCTTATTAATATTTATTGAACACTTATATGTGCCACACTTTGTACCATGCCTTTTTACATATATTATCTATTATCATTCTTCTAAAATAGCCTTATGAGATAGCTACAGTTATCTCTATTTTATGGGCGATAAGACAAAAATTAATCTTTGTTAACTTCCTTAATGTTGCAAAGCCTAGTATGCAACAGAAATTTGTTCTAATGGACCTTCAAACAAAGATATTTTGATTGCAGAACTGATATTATAAAGGTATAGGTATAAGAGATTTTTACTACTTTGACCAAGATAAAAATCAAATTTCTATTTTATATATAAGAAAGTGATTTACTTTATAGCAGTGGTATGTTTTGATGGTTGTATTTGTTATTCTTTAGCTTTCTTGTTCTTTTTTAAATCATTTTATTAGGGGCTTATACAACTCTTATCACAATCCATACATACATCTATTGTGTCAATCACATTTGTACATTTGTAACCATCATCATTCTCAAAACATTTTCTTTCTACTTGAGCCCTTGGTAATTCTTTAGCTTTTATATCCCTGATAATTTTCTTTTTAATCCTAATTCTTACAACTGGCACCCACTTTCACCTTTCTTGTGTGTAGTACAGATACACTCAACAAACATTCTCCTCTTTAGCAATTTCTGCTCATATAGTTCAGTGACATTGATTTCACTCTTCATATCAAACAGTCCTTATCCTGGCTATTCTACCATTAATGTATACCCAGTGCTCTCCCTTCTTCCCTCCCCTGTCCCAAACCCAAATCTACTGTTGTCAAGTTGATGCTGACTCATTGTGACCTTATATAGGGTTTCTGAGACTGTCAGTCCTTAAAGGAGCTAGTTTCATCTTTGTCTTCCACAGCGGCTGGTGGGTTTGAACTACTGACCATGAGGTCAGCAGCCCAATGCCTAAATTACAGTACCATCTAATAAGCTTCGGTTTATGTATATATGTTTATTTCCTGTAAGTGAAGGCATACAGTATTTGCCCTTTGGTGACTGACTGCAGTCAGCATAACATTTTCAGGATTCATTCATGCTGTGCCTACTTTCACCTTAAAGATGGAACTATGTGAGCTCAGGACTGTGAAGATGCCTTGTGTTTTTTGAGGTTAAAGTTTAGGTATGAAGGGGGTGACCAAGGATGTTCAGTAATAATGGCTTCATCAACCCATTATTTCAAAAGAATTAATGAAGAAATGGGTCGATTTCATGTCTATGAGTATTCAAATTAATGTCTGAATTTTAGTTGTTGTTGAATTCATATTCAAATTAAGTAATAATTGATATTTGTGTTCAATTATCCAGGACCATAATTATGGTGCTCGTCCTCCTCCAACACCTCCGGCTTCCCCTCCTCCATCAGTTCTTATTAGCAAAAATGAAGTAGGCATATTTACCACTCCTAATTTTGATGAAACTTCCAGTGCTACAACTATCAGCACATCTGAGGATGGGAGTTACGGTACTGATGTAACCAGGTGCATATGTGGTTTTACACATGATGATGGATACATGATCTGTTGTGACAAATGCAGGTAAAATATTTTACATCATTAGTTTATTTTTCTTGGATACTGCTAACCATTTTGATTGTTAATATTGGAAAAAATAATTTAAATCACCTTTGACGGAATTGAGGGCATTTTGTAAGGGGACATCTACTATTGATATAATTTATTTTCCTTAGAAAAAGCCCCACTATGGGATGGGAAGAAAGCCATTTTAAAGCTTATCAAATATCTCCATTATTCATTAATAATAGGCCCTCAGTTCTCAACTTGATTCATGTGCAAGCACATTGCTCTTTTCACTCAGTTCAGTAGTAATGTACAAGTAAATGTAGTAATAGACAAGATAGAAATGAGAGAATTGAGTCTTGTGTACTTGAGGGATTATTTGTGCTGTAGCGAGAACTGTGATTTTCCAATTTGGGGGAATTTACATTTTGATTGATGTTTGTTTGACTTGACTCTCTCACCTCCTTTTGACTTGAACCTTGCAGCACTCTGGAGTCTCCTTGAACCAGAACCACAGTCTCCCCTCCCCCAACCCTGGTTCAACCACCAAGAAAGGCCTCTTCCCCTAGAGAAGGTGTGAGTGGGACAGAGAGTGGGGTTTTGTTTTCTTTCTTTACTTTTTACTTACTTATTTTTGGTGGAAGGGTGTTGGGGAGGATGGAGAGGGAATAGTAGGGTTTCAGCCTGACAGTTCGTGAGTGCATTCCCTGCATAGGGTGAGGAAAAGAGAGTATTTAAGTAGAGCATTATGGAGTGTAAGAAAGCTTGATAGCTTATAGAATTTCCTGGGTCCTTATGGCATAGCTTCATTGCTTGATTTGAAGTAGCTGGTGTATATCCATATTGAATGTGAGTATAAAAGTACATCCCAAAGTAAAATATAAATGATATTAATTGTAATTTTGTTCCTGCCTTGTTTATAAAGTCATTAGGAGTTGGATAATATTGATAGAAACATATGATCAGTGTTAAATTTTTAAAAATTGATTTACCTTTGGCAAAAGTAGAATATTGGTTTTTTTAGAAAGTTGTATTACTCCTTTGAGTTTAATAATAAAAATACAATGTGAAAAAAAAATTACTATGTGTCACATTTTCAATTTTAAAAACAAATTCTCATTACCTGTGTATTACCATGAGTAATGTACCTTCATAAATTTACTTAGACTATAAATTTAAAAGTTAAAATAAAACTTTAGTGACACATTGCTTCCTTCATTATTTTTTAACTAGTGACTTATTAAAAAATGTTAATTTATAGTCAATCTTGTATAAAAGAACTTCCTATTAGTTGATCTTGTATAATATGATAAATTATTTGGCATTGTTTCTATTTTATTGATCTATACATTTGTAAAAATTTAGCTGCAATGATCTATGTTTAATATAGAATTATTTCTATTAGATAACAATGAAATAGTCCTTAGGACTTTATAACCAGCCACAAATTTTTAAAGGACCAGTATATAGTTTGTGGATTACTCAAGGTATTGGGTTTCTCAGCAACTGCTCTGTCTTTGGTATGAATTTTAACATTCATTTTTCCACTGCTTAATCTGTAGCATATTGCAAGGCTTAATCTTATTCCTCTATTCTTAATTTACATTGTCTTTATTTTCATGGCCTTACTGCCCATTCTAATCTTCAAGTCTGTTATCCACACTTTGATCATTTATTCATCTCCAGCTTTGTTTCTTTTATTGTCTATATAGCATCATTATTTACAGAATCAATCTGTTATTTCTAACCCTCTTTGCCAGCTGCCCTGCTTTTCATTTTCACTTTCCATTTTCCCACCTCTTTATATATCCCATTATTACTCTCCCTGTTTCTCCAGTTCTTTGCCCCAACATTCTGATTTACCTGTATCTCTCTACTTTGGGGCTGCCTTAATATTAACATTTGATCTCTGTTGGTAATTATCTGGACAACTCCAGAAGATTCTTGGCAATCATATTTTTAGTTAAGAAATAAAGAGCAATACATTAGTGGTTAACTTAGTAGTTACATGTTAAAAGAGGCTAAATTATGTGAAGAATAATAGCTAAGACTATTTTTGATAATAGGTATATGAGGAGGCTCCTAAAAGTTGGTGCAAATTTGTTCTTTTTTAATTACGTTTTCCATAAACTTTTTGAAACTCTTGTATAAATCGACTTAAGACAAAGTAAAGTGTTGGCGATAAAGTATAATCACAATAGCTAGTTGAAAAATCTACCTCAATCTGATTCATATGTTCCATTTTAAAAGATTAGAGGACAGAATTTTGTTTTTGTTTTTTTAGAGGACAGAATTATTTTAATCTGTCCTCATAGAATGGTTTCTTGGATTCTTTAAAGTTCATTTTGCCTGCCATAATTCTGGTTGTGCCCTTCCTTAACTCAGGTCTAGCATGTTGGAGAAGGAGCCATAGTGTTGCCAATGATTAGGCTACTCGTGAGAAAATGGCCACCTACGGAATCTGTAGGAGAAAGAGCTGGAGATCAGCTCTTGGAAAGATTATAGCCTCGAAAATCCCATTTGGGCAGTCTTTCTCTGGCAGCAGCTTCGAAAATCCCATTTGGGCAGTCTTTCTCTGGCAGCAGCTAACAATGAATGTTGGAACACCTGCCAGTTGGACTATCTGCCTCTAGTTTCTTGAACTCTTCTGAAGTAAAACCGTATGTCATTGAGCACCTCAAGTTGTCATCCATTGCAGGTTGAAGAAAAGTACACACATCCTGACCTTCCAAGTACTGTATAATCAGACTGCAATTTACTAATCCAGTTTTACTCCTCTCTGTTTCTCAAAATGTACATTCTTATTCGTATATAGTGACCTTCTGGTTGTTGCTCATTGTATCTAATTAAAAAGATTGCTACAAAGATGTCTTGTCTTCCTAATTTCCTGAATGTGAGATTCTATTTAAATTCATTATTCTTCAGGGCACTTTTTTCATTAACTCCAAGCAGTGATTGGAGTTAAATAGTTTCACTTTTGATAGTTATTAGTCGACTGCAAGGGAATTTTTTGAGGGAGCATATCTCTTTTAAGCCTTGTAGTTTCTTATATTTGTATCATATGTCTTTAAAATGGTATTTTATTTAGAGGTTTCTAATATACAAACATGCACATACATATGTGTGTGTATCCTATTCTTGTCCACTTGTTTCTGCTTCAGTTTTATCTTCTAGATTTATATTTAAATAAATTCCTCACAGCACCATATAGAATGCTAAGCTAAAAATTGGCACTTACTAAGTGGTAGTTAGTTGGAAATTCAAATCTTAATTTCAGGATGATTTTGAATAATTTATATGTTCTGTTTTATTTTTTTCCCTTAAGTGTTTGGCAACATATTGACTGCATGGGGATTGACAGGCAGCATATTCCTGATACATATCTTTGTGAACGTTGTCAGCCTAGGTGAGTTGCACGTAGCTGATAATATTGCTTATAATTTTACTGAAGTAATTTTTAGTTAACAGAAATTTTACTTATGTATTCTAGGAATTGGCAAATTCAGTTTTCATTGACTCAATATTCTAAGCTAAACCTTTTTATTTTATATTGTCTTATATTCTAGCATGCCTAAAATTGGGAAGACTCCATTGATAAAATACCATGGTTTACTGATCAGGCTATTTACTTATTGCCCTTCTTCCCACTAGGATTACACTCTTAAAAAAACTGTTATTAGAAGCACGCTTTTCAAGGTTTAAATCTTTTGGTTATGGACATTTCAAACCTATGTTAAAGTAAAATAGTGTTGTGAACCACATGTTTCTATTCACTCTGGTTCCCAACAGTTTTCATCAACCCATGATATGTATGTATTACAGTTGTTTGACCCTTCACCTTTTGAAGGACATTTGGACTATTTTCATTTGAAGGACGTTTGTGCTATTACAAATAAAAGTATTATAAACATTCATGTATAGGTTTGTGTGAATAGTAGTAGTCTTTTAACTGGGATAAATACCCAAGAATGTAGTTGCTGGATTGTATAAATGCATGTTTAGTTGTTTGTTAGGGTTTTTTTTACATCCCTCCCTACCTCTGAGTCACATGTTTAGTTTTATGAAAAATTGCTACACTCTTTTCCGAAGTGGCTATACCATTTTCCATTCCCACCAACAATGTACAGGTGATTCAATTATTTATTTTCTTAAAGGATTGCCTTTAAAATTTTGTTACTTTATAACTGTTGTGCCATTTAAAAGTCAAATATATAAGACAAGATATATTTCGATAAGTCTAGCTTCTATCCCTGTCCCTTCTACCCTATCTCTAGAAGTAACTACCTTAAAAAATTGGTTTTAGCTTCCATTGTTTGGTTTTCATAACAAGTTCTGTACTTATGTATTTGTATTTCCCTCATTACAGAGTTTTCACCATATTCCTTTTTTCTCTTAAAAGTATATGCTTGAACATCACTTCATAACAATATATGGAGACATGCCTTATTTCTTTCTATATCTATAGGGACTTTGTATGTATAAATGTGCTGTATATTGCCAAATTACCCTCCAGCAGGAGCTGTGCAACTTTGAATTCCTACCAATAATGAATGAGCTTGCCTGTTTCCCCAAACTTCACAATAGCATGCTTGATAGACTTGAATTCTTGTCAGTCTAGTTAGATATGAAATGGTGATAGCAGTGTACTTATCTATTGCCTTTCTCTTATTATTAATGAGTTTTTCTATGTGACTTTTTTTCATTTTGTGATTAGTTATTAGCTTTGTGCCAGATAATTTTTTTCTTTTTTTTAATTAAATAATCATTTTATTAGGGGCTCATACAACTCATCACAGTCCGTACATACATCATTTGTGTCCAGCACATTAGTACATATGTTGACTTCATCATTCTCACAACACCCGCTTTCCACTTCAGCCCTTGATGTCAGCTCCTCCATTTTTTCCCCCTCCATCCCTGCTCCCCCCTCCCCCTTGTGCCAGATAATGTTTGATGAGATAAATACCTGTTAATGGATTCGGTGAGTTAAAAATTGACCATTAAGAAAACAGTTGCCCAAAACAAAACACAACTATAGAGTTCTATGATAACTAGCATACTCTTCTGTGTTGCTAAGATCGTTCCCTATCCTACTAGGCATTACGGCAAGTCCGTTATCACATTTTAGGTATTTCCACTAGAGATCTTTCTTATTCTTCTAAGAATAATATTTAGTGTTATTTGATCTCTAATAAGTTTATACAGTGAAAAGTTGGGAAAAGAAAGAACAAGTTTTTCTTTTATAGTTAGTTTATAAGGGTGTTGGGAGAGTTTAATATGACATTTACTTAAATGCTAAATGTTTTGTAGTATTTCCAAAGTGGAAATAATTTGAAACAAGTGGTTATACCACCATAGATTCTAAATAAATGTTATATATTTATTGTACAAATTTTAATTATATTGCTGAAATTGAGATTATTTTAAAACTTTTTCTCCTTTAAATGTAGCATTTAAAGCAATTAAATTGCTAGGCTCCTTGATAAATTTAAAAGTGTCTTTTAACAGTGAAAAGAAGTCACTGACATCTACTGTTAATTATACTAGATCATATGTACCCTGTGAGACAAAGGGTAGTTGTAGTGCATATATATGTTATATTGTTGGGTTTTCACACTTAAAATTAAAGAAATAATGCATTTGTTACATTTAAAGCAGATCTGTTTCATATCTAAATTAATGAAAGTTTGGTAAGTAATCATGTTAATATTTTATTTTAGGAGTTTGGATAAAGAGAGAGCAGTGCTACTACAACGCCGGAAAAGGGAAAATATGTCAGGTAGGTATAAAGGATGTGCACTAGATTAAGAGTCATGTGATTGATGAGTAAATTGCCTGTTATTACATATACATGCCTTACTGATGAGTGTTGATTGCACACATCTTTGGTTTAGAATTTAAATATTTTTGTTTTTTATATTATGTTATATTATAGAATAAGGAAAATAAGGAAAATAAACATTTTAAAATCACCTTAAACATTTAAAAATAATTTTCTTACACATAGTTAACCCATGAGCTGAAAGAAATAACTATTCATTCTTCAGAAAGATGACTATCTATTAGTTGGTAATGTGGAACAGTGTTTCTTTCATTGTTAGAAACTGAGTTTAGGAGTTTGACATGTGCCCTAATTTTCACTTTGACTTAATACTTTGCCTGTAACATGAATTTTGAACAGTTTTAATTTAATCAACCATTGCTCCTCGATGGGTTATTTCTAGATTTTCTTTGGGTCTTTGTCTTTGGTATTAGATAGTTCTTTCAATAGAACCTTACTGAGTTTTTGCCATTTTATCTTATAAATGATCATACAGTAAATGTATATGTAATTTTGCTAGATACTTCTCAATTTCCTTTTGTAAAGAATGCTGAATTTCTGCTGGTAAGATACAAGTGTCTCACGTGTCTCACTTGTCTCACCACCCGAGTATGGCATTAAGAATTTTTATGCCTTTCCTAGTTCAATGGGTAACAAATTATAGTTATGGTTTTTATTTAAACTACACTTGCTGTGAATGTGATGAGTGGAGAAATGAAAGCATGTTTTTCTTCCCCCTGGAAAGATGGAGATCCAGTCCACGATCCAGTTATGTGGAATGCTATCTCAGTGCTTGAAATAGAGTCTTACATATGTATTAATGTTTAATTTGCCTTTGAAGATGGTGATACCAGTGCAACTGAGAGTGGTGACGAGGTTCCTGTGGAATTATATACTGCATATCAACATACTCCAACATCGATTACTTTCACTGCTTCAAGAGTTTCCAAGGTTAATGATAAAAGAAGGAAAAAAAGTGGGGAGAAAGAACAAAATATTTCAAGATGTAAAAAAGTAAGTTTCTGCTATTCAAAAATTTGAGTAGTTGGGAAGTAAAGAGTTTTACCAAAAAGGCAGGTAGGTGCTTTGTAGGAAAAGGGGAGAATATTAGTGGCAGGATGTAGCAAAGACTTCTGTTTTTAATTTTAAACAATTATTAAAATTGTTATGTACTTTAAAGATTAAAGTAGAATAGAAAACTTATGCAAACTGCCTTGAAATCTTTACTCAAATGGGGCTATTTATATAAATATAAAATAAAATAGAACAAAAGGACTGTTTTAGAAAACAGAAGTAATAGTCCTAAATAATGTAGTCACTTATGAACAAGTAAGGAAACAGATGTACATCCAGTGATTACAAGGAGTTTTTAGATAACTTTAGAGTGTCTAGGATCCCTAGTGTCCAGTGAATAGAGCACTCAGCTGCTAACTATAAAGCTCCTCAGGAGAAAAATGTATAATCAGCTTCTTAAAGATTAACAGCCAGGGAAACACTCTGGGGGCTCTTCTACTTTGTCCTATTGGGTCACTAAGAGTGGGAATTAACTCAGTCGCAATGGGTTTGGTTCACTTTGAATATCTAAACATTTTAATTGTTGAATTTTGACGATGTGAGGTCAGTGAGTCAAAGCCACCGGCTGCTCTGCAAAAGGAAGATGAATCTAATCTACTCCCATAAAAA